TGAAATGTGACTTTCTGTCTTATATACCCTTGTATAACCACAGGCCTAAGAGAAATGGAGTGGTTAATGTATATAGTTTTTGCTTTTTGTAAAAGACATACTTGTGTGTCGGTTTGGACCGGTTTTGCTGTTAACCGTATGGTGTCAAGCCATAAAAATCTAGAGTCATCCTAAGGGTCAGCCGAGGAAGGCCATGCGCATGCGTGGAATCTGGGGTAATCCAGAGGGCGAGCCAAGGAAGACCACTGACTTCATCCACCAGACGGGAGCCACACAGTTCCATAAGACCTTCAAGGGTTCCATAAGACCTTCAATTTCCCATTTTATCACAGAGTTTGGCTGTGGTGTCCCCACTCCGCTCCACCCCCCGCACCATTTCTCTTAGCACACCAGACTCCCCTGATCTCACCAGCATCTAAGGTTGCCTAGGGAACCTCTGTGGAATGTATCCCTTGCACACCAGCTGCACTTCATCCTGAAAGTTTCTTCGATGTTGTACCTTTCTGTAAAATGTGAATATAAGTTTAATTTCTAAGTCACCTCCAGCAATTATTCCACACACCCCTTTGATAAACCACCACATTAAACTCTGGCAGCCTCTCACCTCCGCTTCCCTTGCACACCAGCTGCACTCTGCCTGAAAGTTTCTTCGATGTTGTACCTTTCTGTAAAATGTGAATATAAGTTTAATTTCTAAGTCACCTCCAGCAATTATTCCACACACCCCTTTGATAAACCACCACATTAAACTCTGGCAGCCTCTCACCTCCGCTCTCTTCTCCATTTTTCTTGTCACACTGGTGCCTCATCTCATCTCTGAATACTTCCTGTTCAATATCCTTGAACTACGTGCTGGAGGGGAAGGCACACACAAAGAGCATTGCAGAGACATTTTGATGAGACATTTTGAGCCACGCAGAGCTGGACACAAACCACTGCCGCCCCCCAGCCCCTCCTTTGGGTGTGATTACCCCCCCATTTACAGCCCCAGACATTTGGGTGAGGGCAGGAAGAGCCGCGTTGCTGAGCTGTATGGGTTTTTCAGGGCTCTGGGTGATTTTGGAGCAGGTCAGGCCAGTTAGAACCACATGGCGCTTTCTCATGTCTGTATGAGTTACATATGCCCCGTATCAAGTGCTTGGTACCATGCCCCACATCGGGGCAGAGCTGCCTGAGCTGTGAGTGCAAAGTGGGCACTGCGGGAGGAGCAGTGTGGGGGGAGGGGGGCACGTGGCCCCTGCCCTGCATGCTCGGGGACTGCAGGGGGCCTGGGAGCAGTGCCAGAGGCCCCCTGCACTGAGGCAGGCCTGTGGTGGGGTGAAAGGCAGCTAGGGACCCTCGGGGACAGCCAGCACACCTTGCCCAAGCCTGGGCACCCCTGACTGACCCAGGTCCTAGGGGGCAGCGCAGGGCCCCCCTCACTGGGTAGCCCGTGAGGGCACTGGTGACAGGGCCATGTCCCCCCCGGTGCAGGCCTTGCTCCCTGGTACAGGCTGTGCCCCCTAATGACAGGACCAGGTCCCTAACTGGTGCAGGCCATGTCCCCCCGTGACAGGACCAAGGGTTTGCCCCCCCTGTGTGGTCCATGTGTGACAAGCTCAGTATTGTTTGTTCACCAAACCTAAAAACTCTCATTGTTACAGTGTTTCATGAAAGGCAGCTGCTTGGCAGGATGGGGCAAGATAGCCAACATCTGCTAAGCAAACAAGGCCAGGCTGCAAGGTCGAGTTATGCTAACATCATAAATTGTGAAAAGGCTTGGGAGGAAAGGAAAGGGGGAGGCTCAGTCAAGTCCTGCTAACATCATAAATTGTGATAAGACTTGGGAGGCTCAGGAAGACATGGAGCCTTCATCCCTGCGACCACCAAAAAGCAAAGGAAGAAAAAGGACGACCCCCTAGCAACAAACCGCGCAGACGCAGAGTACACCACTAAGAGAAACGCCTACACCAGAAGTAGAAGAGTATAAAACCAAAGACTTTTGTAACCTAAGTGCGCGCCGTCGGCGGAGTGAGACTCCCGGGCCGCCCAGCGCTGTTTTGCTTGCTGCCGCTTGCTAATAAATCCTTCAAATGTAATTGGCTCTGTCTCCTCGCCTCACTTTGTGAGACTAACTTATAACAATTGATAAAGATGAAGAGAATAGAGAACCAGCCCCAGTACCAAGCCTGGGGGAATGCCACTTGTGACCGGCTGTCAACTGGATTTAGCTGCATTCACCACCACTCTCTGGGCACCGCCAGCCGGCCAGTTTTTACCCAGTGAAGGGT